GGGGTGGGAAGGGAGACGGGAAAGCAGGGGGGTTAAGTTAGAAACTGGGCGATAAACAGTGGCACCTGGATTCGCCCCAGGGTAAGGGGCAGAGGAGATGGGAAAAAAGCTCCTCTTCCCCTGTCTACGCCAGTTTTGTACTGAAAATGTGAATTAGGGGCAGAGGGGTGAGGGCTCTGCCCTCCCGGGGGGAGCACGGGGTGAGCCGGGTTGGCCGGGCTCCCCCAGACACCCCGCTCGGCCCGGCCACCTCTTGTCCCCCTCGTTGCCCTTCGTGGTGTCCAGGATGACGTGTAAATAGCAGCGAAAACGAACAAAACAAAACAAAAGCGCAATTGGAAATAAATTTTTTTTCATTGTGAATCCGACCCCGTGTGGTTTGTTTGGGGTTTTTTTTTCTGGAGGTGGAGGTGGGCAGGGGGGGGGGTTGTCTTTTTATTCTGGTGAGAAAAAAACCAAAACCAACCCAACCCAAAAACTATTTAAAATACATTAATTAAACAGCACGTTTCTTTTTTACAGGGCTTTCTGTTGTCAATGGCGCAGCCTCAGCTCCTTAATGAAAACAAAAGATGTTTGACTATAGGGTATATCAGCCTTAAGTACTGCTAAGCCTTACATATTATGATTTATTTGTTCTAAGCGTATATTAATATGCTCTTCCCAAACTGGGCTCAGACAAAACCGAGGTAGTCATTAGCGCGGTGCTTTGCTCTGAGGAATGGATGGAAGGTTGGATTTCTCAGGAGAGACTTCTGCATTTACAAAAAAACAACACCCCCCCCAAAAAAAAAGAAAAAAAAAAAAAAAAAAAGAAGAAAAATCTCCTTCTCCGAGGTAGTTAATGCATTAATGAGTCTAATTTCTGCACAGATGTTTCTCGGTGTTTGCAGGTTTTCTGTGTATTTTCATATTACAAAGGAGCTGGCTCCTGCGATAGCTCATAGCCTGACAAGCAAATAGATAATCAAGAAGACAAATGGCTTCTTTTGTGAGCCGTAGCTCTTGTATTAATTTTCATTTTCTTTCTCATAGAAAGTATCGAAAATACCGTTCAGGACGAAATAACATTCCAGTTCTAAGTTACAAATATATACTAAAAAAAAGAAAAGATACAATTGTACCCGGGGGGGGTCGCGCAGGGGGAGGAGGATGAAGAAAAGAATCATTTTCTTATACTTGCCTCTAAGAAAAAAAACAAAAAAAAAAGGCTTTTGCTTATTTGTTCAATGTCCACGGAATTCTCTGAGACCCCCCCCAGCAGACCCGAAATATTCCTCTGCATTATTCAGAAACAAAGGCAGGGCTTGAAATAGGTGAAGCCAGCCTGTGTTTAGGTGTTACTCCTGTTGCAGCCACGCACCTTGCAAAGAAAATGTCCCCCCAAGCTCCCCCTGCCCCCCGCTCAAACAAAGGCCCGTTAGATTTTCCTTTCTATTGACATTTTCATACTTTAAAATAATATTAACGTAGTCACATGGGACGGATCTTGTTACACGCTCTGATGTAGGAAAAAAAAATATGGATTTATGGGTGTATTTTGGGTTTACTGATGCGGTTTTAGAGACAGCAACTGCAAACCTTTAAAGTTTATTTTATTTTTTCCTTCCTTTTTTTCTTTTTTCCCCTCCCAGGGAGGGTGGCAAGGGCTGTATTTTATTGTAATGCCTGAGGTTGGGGTGGTTCGTTGTTGTTGTTGTTGCATTTTATTTTACTGTTCCTCTCTTTGATCTGCTGGGGTTGTAAAGAGGGTGTTATTTTCGAGATAGTCCTTCTAAGAACGGCAAAAAATCGTCCTTTTTTTTTTTTGGTGGCAAGGGCTGTATTTTATTGTAATGCCTGAGGTTGGGGTGGTTCGTTGTTGTTGTTGTTGCATTTTATTTTACTGTTCCTCTCTTTGATCTGCTGGGGTTGTAAAGAGGGTGGTTATTTTCGGATAGTCCTTCTAAGAACGGCAAAAAATCGTCCTTTTTTTTTTTTTTTTTTTTTTTAAACATATGCTTCCAGGAATGCAGGGTCTATAGAAGCATATCAAAGCTAGAAAGTATGAATAGAATAGAAGCGGGAGAAAAGAAGATTTCTATAGGACCTAAAAGTTCACAGCCATTATAAGCAGACAGAAGCCAAGAAAAATGCGAGAATTATACAGAAAATCATTAATCACTTCTTTTCTTTAAATACTTATCCTTTTCCCATTGTTATTCAACAGCAAATCTCCGCAGACCGTCTGTTGGGAAAAAAGCACCCGGAGCCCTCCAAGAATCTTCAGGGGAAATAATAATAATATTAATAATAAAATCTGGATCGTAAAGGTGAAAGCTTTATTTTTGGGGGAGAGAAACAAAACTAAAAAAAACAAAAACCAACAACTCAAACCAAACTACCCCAAAGCCACCCCCTCCCCCAGACCTCTCACTTTGGAAGAAACCACCCAAACCATGAGGGCCGTCTCTGGGGCGCTGGAAAAAGGATGTGGGAGCGAACCAGGTAACAGAGCTGCTCTCTTGGCATGCATTTCTGATCGGTTTATTGCCTCCTTTCACGAGAAAGCCGGGGGAAAGCAAAAGAAAAAGAAAAAAAAAAAAAATAAAAGGAAAGAAAAGGGGAGGAAAAATGGAGCTTAAAAAAAAAAAGAGCTTAAACCAAAAAAAAGGCAGAAAGAAAAACAACACGTGAATTCTTGTGCGGGGTTTTCCTTCTGTTTTCTCGTTTTATTTTGACCGATGTGAGCGAGGGGAGAGGGTGGAGAAAGTTTGCAAGTTTACGTGTGGCCGGGGGGGGTGTTTTTAGCTCCTCGGTTTGGGGTTGTGCGTGGTTGGGGCTTTGCGGGGTTGCGGGGTTGCGGGGCGGCGGCGGGGCCCCTCGAGTGGGGGGCTGGGGAGTTTACCCTGCTTGGTGCCTTTTTTCCCCTTATTTTTTTATTTTTTAAACATTTTAATTTCTTTTCCGTGCAAGACCTTCCTGCTCGTTCTGGGGTCGGGGTGTCCCGGGGTGCGGGTGTCTCGGGATAAGGATGTCCCGGAGGGTTCGTGTGTCCCGCGGGTGTCTGTCCCGCGAGTCTCGGTGTTCTGGGGGTACTGGTGTCCGGGAGGTTGTTGCCCCATCCCGGGAGCGGCGCATTTCCCTGGTTGTTTCCCTGGAATCCCCCGGCTAAGGAAAGGGGTGAAAATTGGGGAGACAAAACCCAGCGCTTGCCAAGCCTCGCTCGGGGGAGAGAGTTCACGCAGAGGACACGTTTTCTAGGCGATTAACTGTGTATTACAGCCAGGACTGACCTCGCAAACCCCTTGACCTCCCCGAGGCTGGACATTGTGCTGGGCAACAGCTCAACCCGCAGTTCAGGGAAACTTTGCGTGTGCGGGTCCCGCCGGCCCCGGCCCTCACCGCGGTCTTGGGCCTTGAAAGAGGGGAACCAGCCCCGGGAGGAGAAGGTGGAGGAAGAACCGGGTGGAAAAAGGATTTAGGAGTGGGTTTTATTTCTGCTTTCTCACGGCTTAATGGTTCTGTGTCCTAGCCGGAGCCCGACAGACGCTTTCCCCTCTGATTTCACTTGAAAAGCCCTTGGTGTTTGCTTGTTTGTTTGCTGCTTTGTAAGAGAGAGAAGCAGAGAGGGGAGAGAGGCGCGGGGCTGGGGGGGGGGCCGCGGGGGTC